ATCTAATGGTGTTAATGTCTAACTTTAATCAATCTGACATATTGCACAACCTCACCCGTTGTCTTCAATTGTTACTGCCTCACATCCAACAAGGTTGAACTGTACTGGTCACATCTTCTCACTCGAACTCCTGGAATTTTCTGAGTTGTGTTCTTGTACAACATAAGGAAAGTCTTGAATTTGTTTAAGATGATATATAGTTTTAATGCTTACTTGAAAAAATAATTTATAATTATTAAAAGTGAGGGGGATACTACCCCTAACTCAGTTCTCATATGGCTGACATGAGACAAGGTGTTTGAACCCATTCGCATCAAGTTTAGGGTGCATCTATTACTCTGCCGTAGGCCATACGATGTGCATACGATAAGCCATATTACTATATATAGAGCTGAAGACTTTCTATGTGGCCAGAGGTTCGTTGTGAACATTATGAATGATCTGGGATTACTCCGGGCCAGTACTGATACTAGCTCATATACAAATTTCGTGTGCAAGGTGGCCGATTTCATTGTTACTAATGGCGGTTGTCTTGCCACATCCCCTAAGGCCATTGTCATTGGGACGCGCTGAATTGTATATAACTATTGCTAATAATAATGAGTTTGTGACAGTCATGTAAGCGAGATAGGTCAAACTGACCTGTTCATGCTGTGCATATTGATTGACGACACGATCATAGATTCGATCGGAAATAGACCACTATACCTGTATTTGGTGTATATAAATGGTGTGAATGATGCACTGGGGTGTTAGATACAAATATGATGCTTGCACCACAGAACTAAGCTGTGTACTGTTCACAGTGCAGTTTAAACACGTGGGCAATCTCTTTGGTTCCCCTTAAAAACCAATGTAAAATTACGCTTCCCAAATGAAGGTGCATTTTTATTTCGATATACATATAAAATGAGTGTGCATATAAACGCCACAATGATAAAAGGTTAATATTTAGGTAGCACTCACCATAATCTACGTTTGTAACCATAATTGCTAAAGTGAGTTGAAAAATATTGTGGGGTTTGAAAAAAAACAGATATTACCCGATATTTATTTATATATTTTAGTAAAACGTGATAGATAAGTGATGATTTGTTCAATAATCAATAAAATTAAATTCAACAAAACAGCTGATGTTTTCATCAAGACCAAGAATTAATATCTACAATGAGATAACCAGTCAAAACTTGGAAGCATAGGCGAACTCGTAATAATACAAGCATATCAAAATGACATGTTTGCGTGCAGGCATAACCCTAGACTATCGGGCCAGTAAAACCGGTACGTCTTAATCAATTTTCAAACTTTTCATGTCAATCTATTTGAATGCTCAAAGATACATTTAGGCTATCAGTCAATCAATCACTTCATTCACCTCTGAAATGGTGTTTTCTCTCTATGATACCGTTTATTTGGAAAATTCTAATAACTAATGAAGTTTACACTTGCAAATGGTGTTCATCTCTAACTACACTCTAATTCATGGCTTCTAAATATCGTTTTTTCTAACTACATCTTCAGGTGGAGTACTTTTAAGAGAAACACCGAGTGACATAAGAGATTGATTGTATTGTATAATATGAGATGACTTCATAAATTTAACTTTTTAATTTAGATTCAAAATGCTACATCAAAAATGACTAACATGGATGTAAATTCGATTTTACGTGTAAGGATAAATTTGTTAAAAACGAAATAAATAATGTAAAAGTTTAGAGCTGGTTTGTTAGTTTAATCTTAGTCACATTGAAATCATGAATGAATCATTAGTTACATGACTAGTGGAGTTCATCTCTGTCGGAAATAGGCCGCCGGCTATCAAAGACAAATGTGGTTCGTCACTAAGTATTCTTGAAACTATTATGGGTTCACCTCAGGCAATAAACGAGAACGAGACAATGAATAAGCGTCAAGGTAGGCTACTCTGATCCGTTGACCCCAAACAGCTAACCAGAAGTCTTGATATGGCGTAAAAAGTATATTCTACAAACACCCAGCAGCAAGCACAATGATCTCAGGCATACAAATCTCATTTATTTATACATCATAGAAACGTCCTTGAGACAGTCACAAAAATAGCACCCTAAAATACACAGCAGTCAATCACAGCCAAAGATTTTCCTGTTGGGAAATGATATTTCAGGGTCAACTAATCAGCCCATTTTCGGAAAAATAAAACCTCAAATTAGGGCATTTATCAAGCGAGCTCTGAAGATTTAACGTCCCAACAGTTTTGAATTAACCTTGTCAATTATTGTTGCAATACTCATTATTATTACTGTTTTTTCTCCAGTTAGGTTCGTCAGTAAGTATGCTTGAAACGATTACGGGTTCACCTCAGGCGATAAACGAGAATGAGACAATGAACCAGCGTCAACGTAGGCTACCCTGATCTGAAACGGCTAAGAGAAGTCTTGATATAGCGTAGAAAGTATATTCTACAAACACCCAGCAAGCACAATCAATTCAAGCACCCAAATAGTGTTTATTTATACATCATAGAAACGTCCTTAGGAAAGTCACAGAGTCAGAGTCAGAGTCAGATGCAACGTAGAACTTCGTACGTAAGTACATCAGTTCATGCCGCCATACCACATCAGCACAGAGATGTAATTGTCAATAGTAGAACAGGTAGTAAGGGAATTAGAAGTAATCGGAGAGATTAGGATTAGAAGATATTATTCAACAAGTATGATTCAGTGGGAAAAGTTTACAAAGTTGAAGAATCCAGAAGATTGGGATTTGAGAGAACACAAAGAATAAATGCACCAGTGCCATTGCGAACGATTTTGAGCCATGTCATTCAAGGTCTCTAACCATCGATTATTATCATCTCGCGGACCCCAACCAGGTAGTCGACAATTACCGACATGGCTCAGTCCACTTGTCAATGATTTCATGGATTTCTGCCATGTTTTGGTTTGGCCGCCCCTAGGAAACTCACAAAAATAGCACCCTAAAATACACAGCTACTAATCACAGCCAATAATTTTCCTGTTGGGAAATGAAACCTAAAGGTCAACTGATCAGCCCACGCTTGGAAACACAAAACCTAAAATTAGGGCATTTATTAAGCGAGTTCTGAAGATCTAACGTCCCAACAGTTTTGAATTAACCTTATTGTTATACTACTCATTATTACTACTGTTTTATTGCCAGTCTATTACCGATGAGCGTTTTTCAATTGATTTAAATATAATTGTTATTTTCCATTTTATGATATAATGTAATTCAATATGTGTTGGGGAAGTTAGATCTCCAGAAATCGGTTGATAAATGTCTTAACTTTTCATTTTATTCAATGGCTGACCAGTTGACCTTGAGATCACATTTTCCACCAGGAAAATCCATGGCTGTGATTGGTTACTGTGTTATTTTAGTGTTATTTTTATAACTCTCCCATGGAAGTTTCTGTGATGTATTAAATAAACGAGAGTTGTGTGCTTGAATTCATTGTGCTTGCTGCTGGGTGTTTGTAGAATATACTTTCTATGCTATATCAAGACTTTTTCGTTAGTTCCTTTGGGTCGACGGCTCAGAGTAGCCTCCTCGGACACTAGTACATTGTCTCGTTCTCGTTTATCGACTAAGGTGAACCTGTAATAGTTTGAAGCATATCAGGTGACAAGCATAACAGTATATATGTTTGAAATGAAAGTATAGCAAAGGATGGCTATTACTTTTATACTCAAAACAGAATATAGTAAGAAATCTAGCAAATAGTGAACCAATGTGAAACTTAGCTTCTAATTCAAAGTCACTTATACTGGCTGGGTGAGAGGTTAGTCAGTGACATTAAACTAGAGAGTAAGTAAATTGGTGACTTGATCACAATATCTTGTTCATAATGTTTCAGAACATAACAAATCTCACTTATTAAACTGTAACTGGATGTCTGTAGTAGGAAAAAATGACTGTTGAATGTTTTTAGGCTTTCAGTGGAGGTCTAATTAGAAATCAATCAAAGTATGAAAATTCTACAAGCTTCATCAATCTCATTATGCTCATGTTTCACTATTATGAACTGACTAACTGCAAAAACCTATTGATCTTGAGTTCGAATTCTGATGAAGTTGTGATTGCAAGATATTGAAGGGTTTCATAGTAGTAGTGTGGTGCTGTGGTGCGAACTACTTATAAGTAGTATATAACGTGAGTGTCAACGTAAAGTCTGGTAGCATAATAAGATGGAGAGAGATCAAGAAAGGAAGAGTTAGAAAACAATGGAATTTGTATGAAACGCATGAATAGTGACAATGGATTGATGTTTGGCAACAGGAACAGTCCAGTTCGATAGGATGAACTGATATTTTGCGAATGAACGATTTACGATATGGTTTTCGGATTTTACTGAGTAACTCTGTAATTTTCGTTAAATACAATTCGGTTGGCCCACCTGTGTTCTCATTCACTACAGTAGTAGTGACAGTCTGATAAGTTGATTAGAACTCATCGGTATATATAATTTTCCTTCCGCTTATATGTAAAACGATTTTAACTTGATCGATATGAAAGCTTATTGAGGTACTTACTTAATCAATATAAAAATCCATTATCACTCACACAAGTTTATGCAACCAGAATGTGTGTAATGTAACGCACATTTGGGGAGAGTGTTCTTACTGAATTCACAATTTCAAAGTCAGTTTTATATTGACAAAAGAAACATAAAATAACTTACCTGGAGGTGGAGGTTTCTTTTTCTCACAACAACATAGACTTCTTGCACGTTCACAAAATGATGGATGCATTTCCAAATTCGATACACTGAAAATGAATGATATTTTTTTTTGGAGGGGTTTTTTTGATTTAGAAAAAAAAATTTTTTCATGATAATTGTCAGCTTATTTTCAAGTCGATCAGTGATGTCTACTCAAACGAAGGATAAGTTACCTGAGTTGACCTACTCTATGTGGTGCATTTACAAATTCAGCTGTTCCTGTGGAGATAGCTATATCGAGCGTACTACAAGGCAACTTACGCAACGAATGAGTGAACATCTCCCAGCATGGTTTAAGAAGGGTCAGTCAAAAAATAATACGCAGTTCTATCTTAGCACACCTGGGTGTGATAGTGGTCATATTGTAGATAAGTCTAGATCTTTTCGGGTGATCTATCTCGTATACCTCAATCATTTCCCAACGGAGTTCGATCCCGTCTCCTACACACATAGCAGAAGCCATAGGAATACGTACATTCAGCCTTAATTTATGTGTTCAGAAGAAATTCGTTACACCCCTATCTCTTCCTTGGCCGAATATGACGTAACTAACGATTGACATTATATATTTTTTATCTTATTTTATTTTTATTTTTACACTATTGCTTATTACGTAATGGTTTTGATGTTTTTTAATGATTATTTGAAGTCTATTCATCCACCTTTGACCTACTATTGATAAAACTTTAGTTATCATATTTTATAATTTTCTTACTACTCTATCAGTACACCTGTCTTCCTACTATCCACTTGTACTTTTGCTTATTATATGAAGTGACGTAATCTCTATTTCATTTCATTGTGATTATCACTCAAATTACCTTGATTGGTTTAACATTTTCATACATAAATATTCATGTATATTAGAGTAAAGCCTGATGACGATCTAATCGAAAACAACAATATTGTTCACTTATATGTGTTGTTCTAGTTTATTTTCAGTCAGTTAAATGTGTATTCGAAAATGAGTCTAGTTATTTCAGAGTCATGACGGTTGTTGAGTTGCATTGAAATAGCGAATCGTTCAATGCTGAACTGTCATTAGAAACATGGAAGCACTGGATAAGCAGTTCGTCTTGGTATGGGATTCTTCGGTGACAGTATGAATCCATCATCCAACAAGCGGTTATCGGACACTGGTTTGTCAGTCTTACATGCAAACGCATAACTTCTTGACCAGTGTAGCCTGCATCTGCTGAGGAGTCCCATACTAGAACGAAACGGCCATCCAATGTTTCTAAGTTTCTAATGATGGTCTGGCATTGAACGATTCATGATTCTAATGAAATTCAACAACCTGCATAACCCTATAATGAGTATTATCATGTACTCACTAGTGACTAGCTTGATGGGGAGATTTTCGAAATTCTTGATTAAAAGACGTGATCAGTTGAGTTCAACCGTATTAGTGTGTTAGACAGCTAGCCACCGACGATAGTGGATGATGGCAGTGAACTGTCATTGACTGACTGAAGTCAGACATTAACAACAGTGTTACACCAAGTGATTAGGCGTTCTCGCGCGATAGTAACCCATCGTTAGAGACTTTGAATGACATGACTCAAAATCATTTTGCACTGATGCATATGCATCCATTCTTTGTGTCCTCTCAAATCCTCATCTTCTGAATTTTTCATCATCGTTATCTTTCTCTTTTGAAATTCGTTTCACTGAATTATACTTCTTTAAAAAAATTTCTTCGAATCTTCTCTAATACTTATACTACCTCTACTTCTATGTGATTAAGCCTGAAAGTTCTATCTCTCTGTGTGATAATGTATTATGACAACTTGAATACTGATGTACGTAAGTACGTACGTACACAGGTCTCCGCTGTTGCCGGCTGAAATATATTACTTTCTTAATTACTTACGCCTGTCACCCCAAATGGAATATAGGTTGCCGACCAGTTTTCTCCAACCAACTCTGTCCTGGGCTGTCCTTTCAACTTCTGTCCAATTTTTGTTCATTCTTCGTATGTCTTTCTCCATTTCTTTGCGTAATGTTTCCATCGACCTTCCTCTTTTCCTTTCACCTTGAGGGTTCAAAGAAAGGGCTTGTCTGGCAACGTAGTTGGATGCTTTTCTCAGTGTGTCCTATCCACTTCCACCGCTTCTTTCTGATTTTCTCCTCCACTGCAATCTGGTTTGTTCTCTCCCACAGTACGTTGTTGATGATCGTGTCTGGCCAATGAATCCGAAGTATTTTGCGTAGACAGCTGTTAATAAACACTTGTATCTTCTGGATGATTACTTTGGTAGTTCTCCAAGTTTCCACTCCATACAGTGTAACTGTCTTGACATTTGTATTGAAAATCCTGATTCTGGTGTTGATTGATATTTGTTTTGAGTTCCAGATATTTTTCAATTGTAATACTACAGACCTTGATTTGCCAATCCGCGCCCTTACATCTCCATCGGATCCACCTTGATTGTCGATGATGCTGCCCAGATATGTAAAGGTTTTAACGTCCTCCAAAGCATCTCCATCAACAGTGATCTGGTTGACGCATGTTGTGTTGCATCGCAGAATCTTTATGTAGGTTGAGACCTACTGCTGCCCCTGAGGCTGCTGCTACATTAGTCGTCTTCTCTTGCATTTGTTGTTGCGTCTGCAATAAAAGAGCCAGGTCATCTGTAAAATCCAGATCGTCCAGTTGCATCCTAGCTGTCCATTGGATACCATGCTTCCCCCCAAATATTGACGTCTCCGAAATCCAGTCGATCACCAGGAGAAATTTAGAACTCAACAAAATTCTATCTCATTAATAAACTTACATGTTAACATTTCAAAACAAAACAAACCTACTATACTTACTCATTCAATAATCCTTTATTTCTAACTTCAGCAATTTCTTGATCAATTTGATCTAAGAATTTTTGTAAATCATCTACTTCATTTTCATCTGATGCTTTTTTTCCTAATGGAGAAGTTAAATTCTCTGGAAATGCATCAATATCCATGAACACCGATCGATAACTAACATCTAAATTGTAGTCTAGAATTTTTGACGTTTGAAAATCTTCATCATCATCCCCGAACGGATTCATAACGCATAAAGCGACCTGTATTTTTTTGTATTTTTTGTTTTGTGGAAAAAGAAAGAAAATTTTATTGATCAATGAATAAGTGGTTTGTTCTGTTTTACTAAAGTGAATGGAAGCGCACGCATGTGTGTGTATGAAGTAAGGTATCAAGACTGTCTATTCGAACAAATTTTATTGAAAACTGATTTGAGAGAGCAGCTGACTATCGAAGACAAATGTGGTTAGTCACTAAGTATGCTTGAAACTATTATGGGTTCACCTTAGTTGATAAACGAGAAAGAGACAATGAACGAGCGTCAAGGTAGGCTACTCTGATCGGTTGATCCCAAACAGCTAAGCAGAAGTCTTGGTATAGCGTAGAAAGTGTATTCTGCAAACACACAGCAAGTACAATCAATTCGAGCACACAAATCTCGTTTATTTATACATCATAGAAAAGTCCTTGGGACAGTCACAAAAATAGCACACTAAAATACACAGCTACCAATCACAGCCAAGGGTGTTTCTGGTGGGAAATGAAATCTCAAGGTCAACTGATCAGCCCATGCTCGGAAAAATAAAACCCCCAAATTAGAGCATTAATCAAGCGAGTTCTGGAGATCCAACGTCCCCAACAACAAATCAATGTCATAATCGTCAAATCAAGTCAACCATGATTGATCAATTTTCAATTCACAAATACATCAAACGCAATCATTCAAACCATGTCAAAGTCTATTTTCAATCTTTTAGTCAGCTTTAAAATGTGACATTGTTGCACAGTAGTTATCTATCAATCAATTCATCACAATAATCAATATGTTTTTTTCTAAATTTCAAACAAACAATGCATTGAACAATTCAAAATATATACATTGAAAATTGAACAACGATTTTTTAAGCAAAAAAATAGTTGATTACCTTTAACCATCCCATAAGAAAGAGAAACGAGAATATACTGAAAATAGGCACATATAAATCTACACTGTGTTGGCCTTTTTCATCACGATGTTCAACAAATTGACATGCAAATATTTGACACATGAAATAACTATAAACTGCAATAATGACAACCTAAAAGGTCAATAATAAACAAGAGTGTTTTTGATTTATAACAGAAGTAATCAGTGTTAAAAGTTGTGCAGATCAATCAGTTACACAGTGAAAAATTATCAAGTGATCAATGTGAGATCATTATCGAAAAATTAGGAGCACTGGATAGCCATTTTGTTTCTAGTATATAGGAACTTCACCTGGATCCCTTCTACAGTTAATGCCGATCTTAAACACGGATAAAGAAGGAGAGTTGGGCATGGGGTTCATGACCCCACTCCGAAAAAATCCAACTCGCTAAAAAATCACTAACCAGAAAAATAATTCACAGGTCAGAAGGTCTATGCTCCATTAGGGGGGGGGGTAACTGGTGTCAGTAAGTGAGTAAATAATATGAGGCCCTTCATTAGAAGTGTACACCCGAGAAATCTGTTTGCAGGAATCGAATGCATAACCTTTGGTTTTGTTTCCGAACAATTGTAACCACTAAATTATTTAGTCGATGTTCAGTGGTGCTAGTGTTGAGCTACCATTGACTGTAAGGCGTAACTAGTTTATATCCAACAGTGTAAAAATGTTGATTTCCGCTACTCACAGGATTCGAACCTAGGACGTTTGGTCTTATGCGTGAACGCATAACCTCTGGACCACTGGGCCACACCGCATCCAGTGGTGTTCATGTCTAACTCCGATCAGTCTATAGATTTCATGTAACCTCAGCCATTTTTCTTCGATAGGTGACTGCTTACACCTGACAGGGTTGAACTCCACTGGTCATGACTTCTCACTAGAATATCATTTCTGCAGTGCAGGTGAATACAGCCAGTAAATCTAAAATAAAATGTACGCACATTTGGAATTCCATTGTAAGCCGTCATCCACGTCTGCTCAGTAAAATCTACTACTCGTATTCAGTTCCACTGTATAATGTGTTCTGTTAAGGGTTAACAGTTTTTTCTAAAACTACATCTCATTATACTGTGAACTAGAAATGACTTAAGAATTATAATTTGTAGTCTCGCATAGATTGGTTCTAGTTAGATAACCTTTGGAATTCAGGAATATTGGACAACTGTTTTACTCTTGGTATTGAACACTCTTTAATGATGAGCATGCAAGATGATATTGATTGGGGTAGAGTTTCATTCTCTGAGCTGGATGTTTTGATTGTGGAGTGTTCATTGTTTTTCTTCTGAACAACATCGTCAGCACAAACTTCAGATAGAAGTGAAGTATTCGAATTTCTCCACGTTTGACCTGTAGCTGGTTCTGTAAACCTCAATCTTGATTGGTTGCTGCTGATCTGAAACATGTCGTTGTTTTCACCTTTGTTTTGATTGTATGCCCCTTTTGATCTGTTTCCTAGCCCTATGTTTGCCAATGATTTTCTTGTTTGGTCGATAAATTAGATCAATGTCGATGTGTTTGTTAATTTCTGATTGACCTAAGTGCCAGCCAAGCTTCTAAAAATTCTCTTTCCAGTAATTGCTCTGATCGAATGTATGTCCATAATTGTCAGTATGTATTGATATACGGGAAGGAATGTCATCGTGTTTGACTGCTAATTAATGTTCGTACAAACGAAGCTAAAATGGATGTCAATTTTATCCTATGTAGTCATCATGTTTAAAACACATTCAAATCTTATGGCTAAAACTTTGAAAAAAAATTATTTCACTCACTTGTGTATACACCAATGGAATCATAATACTACTGTAAACTTGTAAATTCTGCATACTTTGTCGAACTCTTCCAATATTCTATTAAAAATAAGAGAAATGGAGATATAGAGAGACAGAGAGAGGGGATTTTTTGAAAATAAATACTGCTATTCAAGTGATAACTTACGGAAACAATTTGAAATCTTTACATTATAAACTTTAAAATATCACTTAAAGGATTCTTTGGATTTGAAGTTCACGTGATTCCTAATTTTGAGTTAAAGTAAGGAAATTCTCGGAGTTCTAGCTAAGATGTGACCAGTGGAGGAGTTCAACCCTGTCGGGTGTAGGCAGTAACTACCAAAGACAAATGAGTAAGGTCGCGCAAAATCCCTAGATCAATCAGAGTTAGACGTTAACACCGTTGGATGCCGGCCCAGTGGTCCGATGGTAAAGTGTTCGCCTACAATCCCAAAGGTCCCGGGTTCGAACCCTTCGAGGGGCAGGAGTCGTGGATGCGCACTGCTGAGGAGTCCCATAACAGGACGAAACGGCCGTCCAGTGCTTCCAGGTTTCTAATGGAGGTCTAACAATGATTGATTGATGATTCCAAATGTGTAAAGTAAGTGCATTTTATGTGCTAACTGGAATGTCGACCCAGCTCTTCTTTTCCAGTTCTCTCTACTCAAGCTGAAATGCATGCTCCCTCAGTACATAATGTACTCTATGCCCTAGATGCGGACCGCTATACCATTTTAGTAGTTGTTATCTGGTCGTTGTTAGTATGATTGAAATCACAGAATAAAATTATGAATCACTTTTCAAATGGTTTAAAGATTATCAGGTCTAGAGTAATGTGACAATTTCCTAACTTTTCATATTCTTTCTAAATTATGTTAATTGACTCTCTCTGCTGCATTTATAATGATCACCTTATGTCTAGTTGAACTTTTATATATTTTTCAATGAGAGTTATGGAGATGAGTGTTTGTTGCACATTCAAATCAACCAATCAATCATTGTCAGAGCACCATTAGAAACTTAGAAGCACTGGAAGGCTGTTTCGTCCTGATGTGGAACTCATCGATGGCAGTGCGCATCCACGAATGCTACACCTGGCAAGATTCTAACCCGAGATCTTCGGTATTATGCGCGAACGCCTAACTTGTTATTAAGATTTATATAAAATACTTTGACAAGTGTATTTGTGTGACCAGATTGTTCGAAATGTATAAGGCGCAAATACATATGTTACGCATGCACGTAAGCACGTCATTTTGATATGCTTGAACTATTACGAGTTTACCTTTGTCGGAATACGAGAGCGAGGATCGAGGATCTGGCGACACGACATGCTACTCAAACCCGATTATCCCAGCCCCCCAGATTGAGTAAAAATAAGAAGAGTTGATATGAAGTAGAATCTGTATTCTACAAGCATCCATGAGTGCGAGGTCCGAATCCCAAAGAGAATCAGGATCCCGGACTAGGGATCAGGAACCGGGTCCTGGTCACAAAACGTTACAGATAATGCGTATTTATACATTTAGGTCGAATAGAAAACAGCATCGAAGTGTGTGACATTGACACTTAAGTCGGCCAATAGGAAGCAACATTTGAAGTGACATTGAAAATCAGAACAACCAATAAGAAACAACATTGGAGTCCGTGATATTGATATCAAAGACGACCATAAAATTGACCAGTAGGAATTAACCAATGATTCTCTTACGATATTGGATGAACATCCTAACAACATCATAACATTTTTCCGATCATTTACGTCTTTACATAGTTCTATCAAAATAGAAGCCTGTAGATAAGATGTTCATATTTAGCTATGATACTTTGTGTTTCCTCAATATACTACTATTTCATTTGGTAGTAGTGTGGTGAGAGCTACTTATAAGTAGTACATGACGTGAGTGTAAACGTAATGTCTGGCAGCGGGAGATGAGGAAAGATCAAGAAAGGAAGAGTTAGAAAACAATGGAATTTGTATGAAACGCATGAATAATGACAATGGATTGATGTTTGGCAACAGGAACAGTCCAGTTCGATATGATGAACTGATATTTTGCAAATGAACAATTTACGATATGGTTTTCCAATTTTACTGAGTAACTCTGTAATTTCGTTAAATACAATTCGGTTGTCCCACCTGTGTTCTCGTTCACTACAGTAGTACCATCTTTGTTCAGTACAATATAATATGAAAACTATCAATCCAAAGCAGTAATTAGGATGTTTCCAGTAGAGACAATGAAATATACAATGAATTTAGGATTTTGTTCCCACAATGGGCTATTCATTGTGTAAATAGAAAGAATCAACATGCATTAAATGTGAAAGGAACTTCGCCGGGAGTCACTCTGGGGTTACTACCGATCCCAAGCCCGGATAAAGGATGAGGGTTAGGTATGGGGTTGGCGACCCCATCCCATAGAAAACTAACTCGACAAGAACATATTAACCAGAAAACATAATTCAAACCATTTTAAGTCTGCACTGGGAGTCAGAAGGTCTTCATTTATAAGAGTTATATGGATGAAAGCCGAGTTTCTTCGGAAGTCACTAAGCCGATACCCCTTCTGACAATCAAAGAAACCACTCTTTTAGTTACATCGAACGTTCGAACATTGTGGGAGACTGGAAGACTATTGCAAGTTGCTGGCGAAATGAAAAGATACAATCTAGAGGTTCTTGGAATCAGTGAAACACATTGAACACATGTTGGAGAACAAAGACTAGCTTCAGGAGAGCTGCTATTCCGTGAAGTTTACGTTTACTAATCGTATGACAGTTACAACTAATCGAGCAAAGACCACTAACCAACATTCTCCAACCTACATTGTCCTGATCTTTCCTCTCCAGTTCTACCCAGTCGCTGTTCATACTTTTCAAGTCTGCTTTCGATACTCCCCCTCGCACAATGTGTTTGTTGATCTTGCTCTTTTCTTTCAGCCTTGAAAATTCCAAGTAAGGATTTGTCTTGTAATGTAGTAGTTGAGTGATATGTATCCTATCCACCTCCAATCGTTTTACTCTAATTTCTTCCTCAGCTGGAATTCTGTGTTGGATGGGACCGGCACTAACTCAAGAAAGTGTCCAGATGGAGTGTGACTCCTTAAAGATGAGAGGAAAGGGAACACGACTGTTTGAATTGCATTGTATTGTCAATAATTAGCAAATAGGGTATGCTTTTTTTTCTAAAACAAACAAACGCACAACTAATAATCTTACTTCAACAGTATAAAATGCTACTTTGGGATCACTAATATAACCACTATCCAATGCTTTCAGTGTTAATCTTTGCGCCCATTGTATCGGTATCCAATATTCTGGTGTGTAATTTGTTTTAGTACGTCGAAACCAATCGGCTGCGATACGTTCAAATGATGAGATTTCTGTTTCAGTAATTAATACACCAAAGGAATTTTTCACTTCTATTAGAAAAATAATAAAAATTCATAAGTTATTAATTATTAAAGCTGTTTATTTATAAATTCTATGAATTGTTATCAGTAAATGAGAATTTCCCAATTGACAGTCACGTCAGCCACGTCACTGAGAGCTGGAGTAGCGGTCAAGAACTTCGATCTTGCAAGTGAACACTGAACCTGAATCGGTATCCAGTTATGATGTTCTCATTAGTGACTAGACTTTGGAAAGAAACACTCTAGAAGTTCTAGTGAGAAGGCGTAATCAATGGAGTTCAAGCGTTTCAGATGTGAGACAGTTACTCACCGAGGAAAATGGATAATAGTTGTATAATATCGTGAATTCATTGAAGTTAGACACTGAAATCCTTGGATGGTGGTTCAGTGGTCAACAGATTAAACTGAAAGTGCTAGGTTGGATTCACATCTGCCCTAAGTGTTACTGAGGAGTCTCATACTAAGACGAAACGACTGTCGATTTCTTTTAGGTTTCCAATGGTGGTTTAATATTGATGATTTCATAGTTTCAATAATGAATAATGATTTACAGAATAGTTTCCCTCTTAGGTCGGTCCGCGAGACGAAAGTCACCAATGGTTAGAGACCTTAAATGACATGGCTCAAAATCGTTTGCAATGGCGCAAGTGCATTCATTCGTTGAGCTCTCTCAAATCCTAATCTTGTGAATTCATCAATATCTCTGTCTTTCTCTTTCTGACTTTATCTCACTGAATTATACCCTAATCTTCTCCACTATTGCTAATACTTCTACTACCTCTACCACTATTGGATTTGAACTGACAGTTGCTTCTCTGTACTAATACGGTACGGCAACCTGAACTTATGTACATACGTACGAAGTCCTACGTTGCAAGTGACTGACTTACTGACTGACTACAGAATAGTAAACCAAAGTTATGTGTTTATAGTCGTTTGGTATTTAACAAATTATATCAGTCACCAGTATAAGTGACCTAATAAATTGTGCATCTGTTTTGATAGTAAAGTAATTGGAAGTAGTCAATAGGAAACTTTGGACTTAAGTTCCATGCTATTTCTGGACACTCCAACTAAGCTTATTCATAATCTTAAGGGAACTGATCTTTTCTGCTAGATCCAACTTCCCGTCTATCTATTAGAAAGCATCAATTTTTCTCACGATTACAAGTAGATCTTGAGGAAGCTTCAACAATAACATAAAAATCGAAGTTCCATGTTTCCTGCTGAGTAACTACAATCACATAACTGCACATATATTTATCAAGTGAAATTTAGACCAACCAGCAAATGTGTAATTCAGTTTGAACGCTATTCATCATTATTGAATACAGATAAATATAACTTATCTATCGTATTTTTCATTTAAGTTTGTTCAAGTTTAATTTGATGAATCCAACTACGAATATAACGTAGTCTACATAAAGTGTTGAGCTTCGACTTAGAATACAACGAGCCTAGATAAATTGGTGAGTCCAAAGCCTAATTTAATGCAGTTACATGAAAATCGTGTGCCTTTTGGTTTTGTGATTTGTGTGTGGTGTGATTGTAAACGTAATCAACACTTGGTATACGTCTCTTGATTTATACACTGTTCGGCGTTATCTGGCAAAGGTTGTCAGAAAGTGTAGTATACACAGTCTAAGAATATATCGAATGCCGATCACTAGTGAGCCTACATCCACTACACATTACTGAATGGTAATATGAAACCCATCAGTAATCTGCTCACATGACCCCCGCTTACGGGAATTGAACCCGGGGCATTCAGTTTCGCATGCGAACACTTAACCGATGGACTTCTGAGTAGGTATCCAAGACTGCCAATGTTTAACTCCGATCAGTTCACCTTATTTCGTGACTTCATTTATTGGTAGGCCTCACACTCGATACGGTTTGGCATAGTTATTAAGCGTTCGCATGCAAGCCCGAAAGTGTTGTGTTCGATTTTCGCATGGATGAGCCTTACTGATGAGTCTCATAGAGGAATGAACCAGCCCTCGAGTGTTTCTAGGTTTCTAATAGTGGTCTAACATTGATTGATTCATGCTTTCAGTGACACTTAACAATCTCCACAACCCTAAATTAAAAAATATCGTATCTTTAACAAATTTGATCAAACAATTAGACGTCATAGATACTCTGGAAAATTGTGTATAATTAACACCTGAAGGTCTCACGTTCGAATCCTGAGAGCATCAGGAGTCATGGATGTTCAGTGACACTGATGAGTACTATACTAGGATGAAATGTCTGTCCATTGCCTTCAGGTTTCCTAATGAGTGGTCTAACTTCTCAATCTGTTGTTGATTTTCAATAACAACCATATGTGACATAATCAATCTATACAAATCGCTTCGATTCATTTCGAACACGATTTCATAAAACGATTCGACTATTCGTGTCACACATAAAAGTGTCTTTTCTATTACAGCTTTTTTACACATTTGAAATCATCAATCAATCATTGTTAGACCACCATTAGAAACCTCGAAGCACTGGACAGCCGTTTTGTCCTGGTATCGGACTCACCAGCAGTACACATCCACGACTCCTGAAACTCGTAGGATTCGAACCCGGGATCTTCGGTATTGTGCGCGAACGCCTAACCATTGGACCACTTAGCCGACATCCAGTGGTATTAATGTCTAACTCTGATTGATCTAGGGATTTCGCGCAACCTCACCCATTTGTCTTCGGTAGTTACTGTCTACACCCGACAGGGTTGAACTCCTCCACTGGTCACGTCTTCTCAACTAGAACTCCGAGAATTTCATCACGAAGCTAGTCATTAGTGAGCACATTTTATGATATTTTCAGTTGGAGTTATGGAGATTAGTGCCTTCTACACATTTGAAATCATCAATCCCTGGTTCGAATCCTGCGAGGTGCAGGAGTCGTGGATGCTCACTGACACTGATGAGTCCCATACCCGGACAAAACAGCCGTCCAGTGCTTCTAGGTTTCCTAAAAGGTGGTCTAACTTCACAATCTATTGTCAGTTTGCAATAACAACCATATGTGACATATTCAATATATATAAAAATCGGCTTCGATTCGTTTCGAATACGACTTCATAAAACAATTCAATATTCGTGTCACACATAAATATATATATATATATATATATATATATATATATATACATATAGAAATACCAAATAAACTTACTTTGATCTTGATTAAAAGCTCGTAACATTTCTCTTAATTCTACAACATCGGCTGCTTCGAAAGCATCTGGCAGCGCTCCACATTCTTCATCTGAAGCCAACGGCGCCAAAGGAGTATGAACATCCGAATTATTATTATTACTATTCGGTGTTTGTACTTGTGAAAAAATATTATTCACTGGACTATCTAATTTCATTTGTTGTTGTTGTGTAGAATTCCCAGTTGATGGTTGAGACAGCTGTTGTTGCAACAGGAGAATTGATTTTGATGGTGATGTGCGTACAATTTCACTTGCATCAATTGACCATGGTTGACATGTATTTCTACTGATCAAATGTTTATGATTAGTGGATTTACGTTTTGGCAAAATTGGTCCTAATGCACTTGGTAAACTACCGAGTGTATCATTTTTAATAAAACGACATGCAATTTGATCGGAGATACGTTTCATCATTAATACCCAAGCTAAATTCATATAACGCATAATGGTTAAACGTATTTTTCTGGAACCTTCTTCATTTTTGCCATTGATAGAAGCCTAACAGCATGAAATACAGTATAAGTGTTTAGGTAATTTGAAATAAAATTAAAGAATCATTTTTAATAACTAATGTAAACGGTAGTAAGTGTACTGGCTGCTGTCTCTTATAAGGTGTATTCAGTGGAGTATCTTATGTGTTGTTACGGGTATGAAGGCGGATGCTACTTCCCGGCTGCCTACAACGTTGAAGGGTGCTCGTTTCTTGAGGAACCTGAACAAGAAGTTGGGTTAGTGTTGGTCTTAACGACCTGAGAGCGTAACCGCAGAGCTCAAGGGACAACTGCTTGAAGCCGGTCATACGTGGACTTTTTATAAGATTTTTTCGACGTGTTACTTCCGCTCCTCAAATGAGTTTATCTCCAGAGACGGAAACCGTAGGGAAAGTTGAGGCGTGAAAATTTTAGGGCCAACTTTTTCTAACCTCTCCCTTTCCTGTGAGAAGACAGCTTTGCTACAGATGCTGGTTGTCCGAGGTAAACATCTTACTGCTGTCACACCCCTCTACAGTCAGCAGTACAACTTCGCCCTCAGTTTCTGCTTTCAGTCTTACCGCTCTTCAGTTGACCTGCCTAGCATGGTAGAACCAACAGGAACATATGTTGTAGCCGATATAGCTCGACTGGGTCATCACGATAGGCAAGCCAAATCTCCACGTCAAAGTAGCAGCTAATGTCGGGTTTCTTCGAGGGTGAAGTGTTTGAATCAGAGTGTATTGAAGGTCGAGAAGAGAAAACAATCTAAAAAGCTATTTGTATTGCGAATGGATGTCTAAAAAATCGTTATATATTTTCTGTCAATAAACTGTGTCTCCACCAAAACCTACCTATAATATGTGCAGTTGATGTCTCAGTTAAAAAAATATTTTAATTGTTATTTTTCATACCGGCTATTCAAAATAAGTAGTGATGTTACGTAAAATCAATAAATCATGGAAAAACTGAAGTTAATATGAGACCAACATTAATAACCTGGAAGCACTAGACCGATTTTCATCCTAGTATGAGACCCTCGAGGGCTGCCACTCGCAGGATTCGAAACCAGGACATTCAGTTTTCCTAGCGGTCGCTTAACCTCTGGATCACTGAGCTGGCATCTATCTTTGTTAATGTCTAACTCTAGTCAATCTAAGGATTATGAGCAACCTCTCTAACTGTCTTCGGTAGGTAACTGCCTACATGTGACACGGTTAAACACCACTGGTTACGTCTTCTCATTAGAACTCCGGGAACTTTATGACCAGAATGCGTTACCTACTTACTTACTTACACACATCTTTTACTCCTAAAAGTCGCGTAAGCCGCCAACCAGCATTCTAAACATACTTTGTCATGGGCCTTTCTTTCTAGTTCCAACCAACTGTTGCTCATTTTTCTCAGGTCTCTCTCTGATTCTCGGCGTAATGTGTTTTTTGGTCTTCTTACTACATCCAACTTATGAGTTTAGAGCTTTATCATCATAGGTATGTTCGTAATGCAACGAAGCCATTGAGGAAATCGTCCGACTGCGTCATAAGACAAGCCTTCAATTGGAACCCTCATCGTCAAAGAAAAAGAGGAAGACCAAAAACTTCATTTTGCCCGGAAAAAGAGACAGACCTGAGAAAAATGAACAAAAATTGAACAGAACCGAGTAGATTGGAGAATGCTAGTCGGCAGCCTATGCTCCATTGAGAGTAACAGGCAAAAGTAAGTGAGTAGGTAAACAGTCGTTATGTGCTATGATTTGGAAAAGGCTGATCGGCGTTCTATGCTCCATTAGGCAAAACAGACGTACATAAGTAGGTAAGTAAGTAGATGAGTAAGTAAGAAAGTGAGTAGGTAAGTAAGTAAGTGACTAAGTAAGTAAGTAAGTAAGTAAGTAAGTAAGTAAGTAAGTGACTAAGTAAGTAATCGACTAAGTGAGTAAGTAAGTTGGTAAGTAAGTAAGCAAGTAAGTAAGTAAGTAAGTAAGTACTGTCAATGAATCCAGAGTAGAAATGAATAAGAGAAAAGTAAATCACATACGTAATAGTCTATAAGTAACCTAAGTGCCTACTTATCCATGGTTCAATGACCAATCAACCCGTGGAAGTGGATAGGACACACACTACGAAAAGCACCTAACTGCGTCACAAGACAAGCCCTCAAATGGAACCCTCAAGGCGAAAGGAAAAGAGGAAGGCCAGATGAACACATTACGCCGAGAAATAGAGAAAGATATGAGGGGAATGAACAAACATTAGACAGAACTGGGAAGGGAAGCCCAGGACAGAGTTTGTTGGAGGAGAATGCTGCTGGTGGGCTGCCTATGCTCCATTGGGCTGTGTAACAGGCGTAAGTAAGTAAGTAAGTAAGCAAGCAATGATCAATCATATTTTACTTTCCTGATAACACATATCACTCACATTCTTAGGAAGAAAAATCGATTGCTTTTTTGTAAAAATAACTTACAGCCACTTGAAGTGCTATCTGATTCATCCATGGTATATATAAATACATTTGATACCAACGTGATATGATACCGGATACGAAAAATCCCAAAAGAAAAGAAATTGGTATGTCACCTTTCGTTCGAACACAGAATTCGACTATTTCTTCAAAAATTCTATTGAAAGAAAGAAGAAAAAAAATGATTAAACATGTTAAATTATTCTGATAATATGTTTCGTCTTAGTGTTGGACTCTTCAGCCAATGGTTGTACAATGAATGATTGATGGTTTCAGTGAAAAGGAAACAATCTCTATAACTCTATAATATAATAATATACAATGTACGGACTAGTGACCACAGTCATGAGGAAATAATCAGGGGTTCTGCTGAGAAGCTGTAACTAGTGAAGTTCTACCGTGCTGAGTGCGAGACAGTTATCCACCGAACATAGTGGAGGATGGCCGCATAAAACCTTAGATTTATTAAAGTTGGACATTAACAGGTTTAGGTAACGACTCAGGAGTGAACAGGTTAACCGGTCGCTCTCTTAACTAAAGGTATTGGGTTTGATTCGCGCAAATGGACGTCGTGGATACGTACTGTTGATGAGTCACATATTGGATTTAATGGTTCTAATGGTCATCAAACATGGATCAGTTCATGATTTTGATATGTTCGTCACTAGGTACGCTTGAAGCTATTACGAGTTCTCCTTAGTCGATAAACGCAAACGAGACAATTACCAGCGTCCAGATAGGCTATCTTGAATTCCAAACTGAAGATAGAAGGCTTTGTAAGCGTAGAAAGTATATTCTACAAACACCCAGCTATCACAATACAATCAATCATACAACTCTCACTTATTTATCCATCATAGAAACATCCTTGGGATAGTTACGAAAATAGCACACTGAAATACACAGCAGCCAATCACAGCCATGGAAATGAAATCTCAAGGTCAACTGATCAGCCCATGCTGGCGAACGTAAAATCCAAAATAACGCATTTATCAAGCGAGTTTGGGGGATCTAACATCCCCAACAGATTTTAACAAAAAAATATAAAATAAATCAGCAAAAATGTTAATCCTGATGGACGCATTAAACATTCTATTAACAGACAACTGTGAATTAGTGAATTGTGGAGATTGTTGAGTATCATTAATGAGTCTTATACTAGGACAAAACGACTTTCTAGTAGTTTCCGTATTCCAGTGATAGTCTGCCAGTGTTATTTTTAATTTAATTTCTATGGTTTTATACATTCACACACGCAACAAAAAATGCTAGAGAAGACGACCAGTGTAGTAGCTGCCTCATCAGGAGCAGGTCTCAGTGTGGTGTGCGCTACTTATACGAACGATATAAGTAGTATAAGAAGGGACGTGAAAGAAGAAGTCTCACGGTCAGAAGAGGAAAACCGAAAGCAAATGGAGCAAAAGCAAGAAGTAAATGGAGTACCAACAGAACGGAAAGGAAGCAACAACAGGAATGGAAGAAGGATGGAGCGTTGGAAGTTACGACTAAAAGATGGTGTGCAAATAGAGTGTTCAATGTAATGTTTTCGTTTTTGATTGACTAAGAGTGTAAATTTACATAATACATTCTTCCGCGCCTGCCTCAGTCTTCTCATCAATGTACACAAAGAGAGGAAGCGAGATTCTTCGATGCAGCACAACATGCAGCAATTAAATCAAACTTGACAGAGATGCCTTAGAGGATGCAAAGACTTTTACATATCTGGGAAGCATCAATAATGTGCAAGGTGAATCTGATGCAGATCTGTAGGAGCGGATTGACAAGGCAAGGGCAGCATTTCTACAAATGAACACTATCTGCAACTCAAAACAACTATCAACCAATATCAAACTCACAATTGTCAATACAAATGTCAAGACAGTTCTACTGTATGGAGTGAAACTTAAAGAATTACGACAACTATCGTCATAAAGATACGGGCGTTTAGGTATGTTTATCTACGCAAAATACTTGGGATCCGTTGCCTAGACACATCATCTTCAAGGACTGATCGAGGGAGAAAACATGTGAGATTCCAGCGGGGGAACAAATCAGGAAGAACCGCGGGAATGAGAAAGACGGACGTAGAGGAAATCAACCATCTGAGTCACGGGGCAAGCCCCCAGGGTAAAAAAAAACACATTACGCCGAGAAATGGAGGCAGGCATGAGAAGAATGAACAATAGTTGGTTGGAACTAGAAAGAAAGATCTGAGGGCAGAGTATATTGGAGAGAATGCTGTTCGGTAGCCTATGCTACTTTAGTGTAAGTAAGTAAAGTAAGCAATAACCTGTTTTATTCAATGATCAACGATCATTCAATCGAACAAAACAAGGTAAGCCTATAATCAACAAAACTAGTTATTCACTATTATTATTATTATTATTATTATTATTATTATTATTATTATCAACTTTAACCTCAAGGATTTTATACTCAAAACTGAGGATGCATGATAAGCAGAGTGAAATTTTCATAGAAACTTTGTAACGATTTTCTGTTTAACATTAGGCAATTGTCCTCTGATCTACTGAGTTTGAATTCATTCTAACCTCGATTGTATCTACTATTTTTACAAACAGTTTTGTAATTAAGCATTTGAATAAAACAACAAAAATGTTTGATATTCATTCAAATCATGAATCGATAATCGGGAATTTAGTCAATCTATTGTTCCTGAAACGGCCGTCCAGTGCTTCCAGGTTTCTAATGGTGCTCTGTCTAACAATGATTGATTGATGATTTCAAATGTGTAGAATACACAAAACTCCAAAACTCTGCCCCAAAATATCGTAACAGTGCTCACAAGTGACTAAATTCTCGGAGTTCTAGTTGAGAAGACGTGACCAGTGGAGGAGTTCAACCCTGTCGGGTGTAGGCAGTAACTACCAAAGACAAATGGGTGAGGTTGCGCAAAATCACTAAATCAATCAGAGTTAGATATTAACACCGTCGGATGCCGGCCCATTGGTCCGATGGTTAGTCGTTCGCGCACAATACCGAAGATCCCGGGTTCGAATCCTACGAGGTGCAGGAGTTGTGGATGTGCACTGCTGATGAGTAGTCCCATACCAGGAAGAAACGGCTGTCCAGCACTTCCAGGTTTATAATAGAGGTCTAACAATGATTGATTGATGATTTCAAATGCGTAAAATACACAAACATCCAAAACTCTGCCCCAAAATTATTTATTCACCGTTGTGTTTGACCTTGTCAATCATTGGTTGATATTTTGGTTGTTTTTGCTTAAGTATATGTGTGTACCGCTTCCTTAGCTTATTACATGTCTAGGTTATTTTGTCTAACTATAGAAAAAGTGAGCCATGCATTGACCCATTGAATTGTCCCATTCGACTTCTCCGCTTCGCTTAGCTTCACTCTGCTTGTTCACTTCTCATGTTCATCATGTCTGTGTGCACGAACGATCGCGTGAAATAAACTCATCTTATTACCGCCATCATACAAACGGAGTTCGCCTAAGTGTGATTAATATACGGAAAGTGAAGGGGAGATTTATTTTCTAACTTATAAATATGACAGTCAGATCGCAGGCCACTCACTACAAAACTGGTGTGCTCTACATTGAGTTCAACGCAACCACTAAAATCGATTAGCATTGATCGATCTGAATTTCAATGAAACTTGGCGTCATAAGCTAGCTTTTTATACTTCATCTCCTCTTTTAGATTGTTTTACTACATTGATTGATGAGTATGATTATTATTTTTTGAAAAAAAACATTCTTGAATTGTGTCAATGGTTTGTAACATTTTTTTTCTAATTAAAAAGTTTTCAGTTTGTCAATCTCAATTGAAGTTTGATACAAACATTGTTGTCATTGAAAAAAGAATTGATTTTATTGTCAATTAATTAAGAATGAAAAATAGTAGTTTGTTACTTAAATTTCTGAATGGGGGCTAAATACCACATATTTTCTGAAATCATGAATCGATCAATGTTAAACTGATCGTTTCATCCTGGTTTGGTACTCACCAGTAGCAGCAGTGTGCAGTCTTGACTGCTGCTACTTACAGGAATCGAACCTAAGACCTGAGGCCTTGCTTGCGAGCGCTTAGTCACTTGACCAGTGAACCTGTTCATGTCTAACATCAGTCTCGCGCAACCTCATCTATTGTCTTCGTCGAGCACTGCTCCACACCTGAACAAGGCTGAATTTCACTGGTCACGACTTCTTACTAGAACTCTGAGAAAATGCCTCACGGAGCTAGGCGCTTTTTACATATTTGGGAATAATCGTTGTATCAATTGGTGTGACTATTTGTCATGTTGTAATCTTTCTTTCATTATGACTAACACAGCCACATTTCATATGCTCGTTACAGAATGGAGTGATATTTCCGTCCTAGAAAACGTTCCATTGTTCATGTCTTTTTATAAGTAAACTTCAAGTGCGTACTGTGAACAGTAGGAAGTTTTGCAGTGAAAATAATTATTATTCCCAGTTTATTCTGATTGATTCAGAGTTACGACATTCTAGAACTACGTCGACGTAGAAGCTCTCAAACTCAATGCATTCGATAAATCAACCAACGTATAAGACTGGATGAACAACGGAGATAACACACTCTCGTATACAACATACTCAAAGAAGTCTGTTCAGTGAGGATATGATCGTATTATCTTGTCGTTATTGTGTCCTTGTATCAACTTGCTTAAACAATGGCTCTATGATTATCACATGGCAGATACCTCCGATGTATTGATTAGATGCTTGGACCCTGAACATTTTGCAACTTGTTAGGCAAATCGGTGGTATAGTGAATTGTAGAAATTTCCTCATGGAGTTGGTCACCACTAGTTAGCATATCTTTATGGATTTGATAAGAATGTCGATATCAAACTTGTATACCACAAATGAGACCGAAGGACCTGTGGCTTCGATTTACATTTTTGGGATTATGAATGCCTACAGAAAAACACTATTCTACATGAAGTAGACGGTGAAACAATGTGCTCACCAGTGACTAGCTTCTTGTGGAAATTCTCGCAGTTCTACTAAGAAGACTTGACCAGTGAAGTTCAACTCTATCGCGTGTAGGCAGTAACTACCAAAGACCATTGGGTGAGGTGGCGCAGGATCGAGAGTTTAGGCGCTCGTGTCCAAGACCGGAGGTCCTGGGTTCGAATCCTGTGAAGTGCAGGAGTCATGAATACACACTGCTGATAAGTCCCAGATCAGGATGGAATGGTTATCTTTCAGTGCTTCCAGGTTTCTAATGGGTGAGGTCGCGCAAAATCGCTAGATTGATCAGAGTCGGATGCCGGCCCAATGGTCAAAAGTTTAGGCGTTAGCAAGCAAGACTGAAGGTCCAGGGTTCAAATCATGCGAGGTGCAGGAGTCATGGATGCGTCCTGTTGATGAGTCCCATATCAGGGCGAAACGGTTGTCTTAACAGTGCTTCCAGGTTTCTAATGGTGGTAGTCTAACAATGATTGATCTGTAATTTCAAATGTATAAAAACACACTAATCTCCATAAAACTCTAATTGAATAATCAATCAATCACAAATGTGACTTACATTTTCTGTTTATCATTCATTGCAAATCGATAAGATAAATTCAGTACATAATACGCTGATATGTAAATCAATAAATCGACCCAGACCAATTTGTACAAACTTCCTTTCCATCTGATCAAAGTGGAAAAGATTGAACAATGAATTAATGTGAAGAGTAAAACAAAACAAAATAAAACACAAGTGTTATTGATTTTTTCAGTTAAATAATTCAGTGAACAAAAAATGTTTTTTTATGCATATAACTATGAGACAACTGAAACAAGTCAAATTATTCACATCGGTGAGTTTCAGTCACAATTAACTTGGCTATCATTTATTAATTAGGTCAATGAAATGTTTTCGATTGGAATTATAGAGATGAGTGTTTTTTGCACACTACCGAGAACAAATGGGTGAGGTCGCTCAGAATCTCTAGATTGATCAGAGTTAGACATTAACACCGTTCAATGCTGGCAGCTCAGTGGTCCGGAGGTTAGGCGTTCGTGCATAAGAGGGAAAGTCTTGGGTTCGAATCCTATGGGTAGCAGGTGTCGTGGATGAGCACTGTTGACGAGTCTTATACCACAATGAAACAGCAGTTCAGTTCTTCCAGGTTTCTAATGGCACACAGTATCAATACTTGTGTGGTATGTTGAAATTCTTTGGATATATGTATATATATATATATATATATATATGAGTTTCGACGTAATTCTCCTTAGTTATATCAACTACCTATTTCTAAAATCTTACATCTCACAGTGTAAATGAATTGTTTCCAAAGTATTTATGATCGGATACTAACTAAGAGGAGAGTATGTAAGATAGAAAGTAGCGACACCGATGCCAAGATATGGTATCCGTTCATGAAGAGACTGACAGACAATTCGACTAAACTATTCAGAGTGGTCCAAAATGATTATTGTGCTAATGTGCTAATGGCAAAGTGAACTGATCTGCATACGTATGAAAGTCAATATTGTACCTGGCTGACTGTTAATCACTCTAACCACAATTGGGGTCCCCAAGACGAAAGTCACCAATGGTTAGAGACCTTGAATGACATGGCTCAGAATCGTTTGCAATGACTTAGGTGCATCCACTCTTTGTGTTCTCTCTAATTCTAACCTTCTGAATTCCTCATCATCTCTATCTTTCTTCTTCTAAATTTATCTCACTGAAGTATACTTCTCGAATCATATCTTCGCTCCCTTATCTTCTTCATTACTGCTAATACTTCTACTATCGCTATCACTCTTGGATTTGAACTGACAGTTACATCTCTGTGCTGATGTGGTATGACAACCTGAACTGATGTACTTACGTACGAAGTTCTGTGTTGTATCTGTCTATCCTACCAGAATCGTGTGACAAAAGGTAAGAGCAACAAAACCAAGACATGATAACAGTTCATAAACAGACTGTCTACGAGACATGAACAATGTAGATTGGTCCAAAATGACCAAATGAGGGTCCACATGATTACTGTAACCAATAATTGAATGTAATCCGACTTTGAAACATGAATATATTCGAATGCGTTGAAACAAACTGTCCAATTATTTTGTTTACATAAAAACGATGACTTTTTTATTTTAGTGAAATATAGATCATAAATCAAAATCAATATTTTGCTTTGTGAATAGTTTTTTGTTTTAAAAATCATCTGCTCAATTTTCAATACATCATATAACATCATAAAAATGTTTACAAACCCGAATAATCGTGTTTTTATGATTAAAAAGAGTGGAAAATACTGTCATCACGAGTTGAACACAAAATAAAACAAAATTACGATTATTCCATATATAGAACAATAGTTTAATCAGTCACCAAGTACTACTATTAAAAAGTACTATCAATCAATACTTTGGAGACTTCATCTATTTCTATTTAGACAAATCATTGAACTGAGTCACTGAACAAGCTGTAAACTGGAATATTTAACGTGAAAGGAGTAGAGTTAGTAGACCGAAATTATCCACTGCGGAAGACTTTAGAGGCAGATATCGAAAAAAATGATTAGTGGCAATTGGGAACAACTGGAAAAGAGAACCTAGTAGAGAGAGGATTGAAGTATTTTAGTCGGTGGCCCATACTTCACCAGAGGTAAAAGTTGTCAGTAAGTAAGTAAGTAAGTAAGTAGGTGGGTAGGTAGGTAGGCAGGCGAGTAAGTAAGTACGTACCTATCTAAGTAAGTTAGTAGGTAGGTAGGTAAGTAAGTAAGTAAGTAGGCAGGTAGATGGTGAGCAAGTAAGTAAGTAAGTAGGCAGGAAGGTGAGTAAGTAAGTAAGTAGGCAGGTAGGTGGTGAGCAAGTAAGTAAGTAGGCAGGCAGGTAGGTAGGTGAGTAAGTAAGCAAGTAAGTAAGTTAATGAATCTCGAGTATATTAGAAATTTTTTTCTCTACAATTATGTTCATCAATCACCTACACACTATTTAACACATCATATTCACACGCACCCACAAAAATCAACAACAAACAACATCATTTATTCATATAATTATGACAGTAATCATTTTTGGTTACATTTTTTTTTCAAAAAAAAATATTGTACTTTGAAATGAAGAATTCAATTTGAATTGAATTGAATTTGAAAGTGTAATCAATAAAACAAATTATAGTAACATATATATTTGTATATATATTCCAAACAGTAAAAAAAAACATACTATTCTCTGAGTTGATTGATTTTAATAGTATGAAAATGAAATGAATGAATATATAGAGATTTTCAGAATTTATAAGATGAAGATTTTGTTAATTGATATGTCTGCACATTAAGGACTAGCTTCGTGAGGATATTCTTGAAGTTCTAGTGAGAAGCCGTAACCAGTGAAGTCCAATCGTGTCGGATGTGAGGCAGTTACTTAACAGAGACAATGGATGAAGTTGCTGAAAACTTTAGATTGATCAAAGTTAGACATAGACACAGTTGGATGACGGCTCAGTAGTCAAAGGGTTAAGCGCTAGCGCGCGAGATCGAAGGTACTCAGTTTGGTCGACACGTGTAGGGGGCGTGGATACACACTGATGATTAGTCTCATACTATGACGAAACGGCCGTCCAGGTATTTTAGGTTCCTACTGATGGTCTAACAGTAGTTGCCTCAAGATTAATTAATATACATTGATAATCTGTTGGCGAGGTTCCGAAATATGCCTCGTACTAGTCTTTAGAGGACTAAAAATGTAGGGGTTATATTTTATCCTATCAACTGACGATACTCACTGGTAATAATTCGTTTAGTTACACTATCGTGAAGGAATTACTTCGGAGACTTAGATATATGCTATGAATATCATCTCAGCGAATTCCATATCGTGCATTATTTAATAAGGCTAGGAAATGCTTGATAAAAGGGTAGGAGTGGTCAGTGCATATGTGACATAGTATTGTGGTATGAAATCAATCTACACAGTAGGAGATCTTGTCGTTTCACGACTCTCTGGTTGAAGTTCTAGAAACGGAGCAACGCAGTGCCCCTAACATTTTATCAGGCATGACTTGGAGTAGAAGTCACTGGCAGTGCTCCGGTAACCTTCCTTTACTGTCTTCATATACGTGAGATAAACTTGTTTAACTGAAAAAAAATTCTTTCTTGATATATTTTTCTTGAATGAACTGTTTCTATCACCCACTGATTGTTTCAAATTATACTCTCCCCTTCTTCCTCTATCTCTTCAAAGTCTTGATTGCTTTCTGTGTGGTGTATGCTTAGTTCGTTACCCATTCGTACTAGTATTTGTGTATAAATAAATATTAAGACCATAAAATCAATCCTTGTTAGATCATTATTAGAAACCTGAAAGCAATGGACGGTTGTATGGGAATCATCAGAGGTGTGGTATACACAAATCACGTTCTCGGGGAATCAAACCCATAACCTTCAGTCTTGCTTACGAGCACTTAACCTACTGACCACTGGGTCGGTCTCCATAGGTACTAATGTCAAATAACTTTCATGAACCTAAGGATTTTGTACAACTTCACTCATTGTCTTCGGTTATTTACTGCCTACACTCGACAGGATTGAATTCCCTTGGCTACGCCTTCCTGCAAAAACTCTAAGAATTTCTTCACGAACCTAGTCACTAGTGAGCACATGTTGTTCATTTTAAATAAGCAAGTACATATAGAAAAAACAAACATGTATACATCCCCCCTGGACACTTTTCATCCTAAAAAACATTTGTGCAGAATACTTTTCAAAAAAATAATCTAACTTACTTTTTAAGAATTTTTAATAAAACTGAAGCACCTCTACCATCAGATAGCTCATCTGCATAAGCAGTAGGCATTGTAGGTAAGTGTTTGTGGTGATGATCAGTTTTGGTTACACGACGATTATGACAGTAGACATTACACAAGACAATAAATCCCAAACTTAACTATCTGTGCACGCCAATGCGATGAACGAATTTAATGAGTGAACAGGTTGAATGTGTTATAGAGAGATAGTTTACTGTTCATAAATTATATAACCTTTGAAATCAAGATGTTTAACCGGATGTGTGTGTGTTTGTGTATGTGCGCGTGCCTATGTGTTCATGAAAATTGTGCTCTACTTGTAAATGTATACATATATATATTTATATATAAAACTCGTTCACTGAGTTTACCACAAATCAGTACAGTGTGTGTGTAACATAAAATGAGGTGTAAAGATATAATGACCGACTATGACATTTATATTGGTTTTTAATGGACACTTTTGTTGATGATATGTTGAAATAAGGTAGAGTAATTTATACTCTGAGATGTGACAGGTACATCGAGCTGTAGACTAGTACCTAGTAGGATGAAACATTCGTCATGAATTAGATTCCTAGTCACCAACCACAGTTGAACATTTGTTGAGACGATGAACCTCTGATTCGTAACATGAACTAATAACTTTAGTTAGATGAATTGATGAAGAGGTAGTCCATCTTAATTATCTATGGGAGTTGGGACACATATCGTGGATGAACTACTACCACCGATCTTAATGTTCCATGATGGCTGAAGTAGATGGGAGAAGTTAAACAAGATACACTAGTCTATGAAATTAATGACTATCTGACTGTGTCATGTAGGGTAGAAACAGAAAACTAGTAATACTGTTACTTGAATTATTTGGTTTATAATTTGAAAAAGATCTATAAATTTGCTACATTTATACTGGATGTTCCAATCTGTGATTAATTCGTGGTTTCGTTCCGTAGCATACCACGTAACCAGTGAAGATCAACCCTGTCAGGTGTAGGCAATAACTACCAAATGCAAATGGGTGGGGTTGCGCGAAATCCCTAGATCAATCAGAGTTAGACATTAATACTGTTGGATGCGGTCGCAGTGGTCCAGAGGTTAGGCGTTCTCCCACAATACCGAAAGTCCTCGGTTCAAATACCTGTAAGGAGCAGGAGACATGGAAACGAACTGCCACTAAGGAGTTCCATTCCAGCAAGACTATTGCAACTGAGGAGTTAAGTAAAGAACATGATAACATTTGAAGTGAACTGTATTCTGTTCGAATCACGGAGTCAACATTAACTCTGAGATGTGCCTGGTATATCCAGGTACAAACCAGTACCAAGTAGGACGAAACATGAGTCCTGGACAAGATTGTTAGTCACTAACCATGTATTAAGGAAAAATAGATTGATGAGGTTGTGAATCACCATTCACCGCGAAAGTTGAGACACGAATAAACTATTTCCAACTACCAATAATTTGGAAAAACACTGATGAACCAGACGAATAAGAGGTACCTGTCCATGAAATCAACAACAATTTAACTGTGCCATGTAGGTAGATTAAGAATAACTACAAACAATAATACTAACACTTGAATTCATCTATTTATAGTTTACTGAAATGATACAAACTGATAACGTAGTTGATAAATTCGTAGCTTCATTTGATAGCGTACCACTCTGCCTAACTTAATCCCATTAAAACAAGTCCCATAAATTACATGTCAACACATTGGACTAACGAAATGATGAATTCACTTTTAGCTTAACAATATTTTACACCGTCGATTGGATGAAGTGATGATAGGCAGTTTACTGCACTCACTACTGACAGATACACTGACTGAAATCAAACAGCTGTGTAATCGACAGTCAATAATGTAATGTTTCACATCATGTATGAGCATGATATGTAATTGTTGCCTCTAATCGTTAACCACATACTCATCGCATATTGGATCTAGTCAACACAGCACATGCTGATTTACACTACAAGGTCAACATGACAACATGTTTCGTTGAACAGAATCCTCAATTCTCAGCTACACTCAACTAGTCTATATTGCATAATCTATTCTCTGTATCAATAAACAATTTGCGTCTTCGATTCTCTTCTAGAATAAGCATATAAGTGAGCGAACTTTTAAATAATTCTCACTACTGCGTATTTTGATCTGTTCTTACTGTTATTGTTATTATTAAGATTATAATAATCACTCCGTGTGCACAGTGTGACTCAGTTTATTTGAAGACAACAATTCCGGTACAAAGTATTGTTGGCGATGTCAGATCCCCACAACTCGCTTGATAAATGCCTTATTTTGGTTTTCACGTTTGCGAGCATGAGCTGATCAGTTGACCTTGAGATTTCATTTCCCAACAGGAAAATCCATGGCTGTGATTGACTGCTGTGTATTTTAGTGTGCTATTTTCTTAACTGACTGTCCCAAGGACGTTTCTATGATGTATAAATAAACGAGAGTTGTATGCTTGATTGTATTGTGATAGCTAGGTGTTTGTTGAATATACTTTCTACACTTACAAAGAGTTCTATTGCAGCTTGGGATTCAGTGTAGCCTATCTGGACGTTGGTGATTGTCTCGTTCGAGTTTATCGACTAAGCAGAACTCGTATTAGCTTCAAGCATACCTAGTGACGAACATAACAAGTATGTACACTTGTTTCAATCTACAATGATGCATATCGATGAGTTTTAGATGTTTACGCAACTGAAAAGAATCCATGAAATAAATCAATTCAATTTTATCCGTTTTTAAAAATTCAATCACATCTCTTTTTCAAAATTCAAAATATTTCTAATCATCGGCCAATATCAAGCGACATCGCCCTTTATTATAAAAAAACTATTGGACATGTTGACATGGTAGGCGGAATTGCTAAATTTTTCACTTCATTCAAAATTCAATGACACTCAAAAACACACAAGGAAAAAAAGTGTTGCAATGAAAGTTGAATATTTTCACAACTAAATTGTTATATTAACTATTGATATTAGTTTTAAGAAATTCAGAAGAGAGATATTGAACAGGATGACACTTGAATGAATTGACATTGATAGTTATACGGAAAATTTCATCACGTTATGAAGTCAATCTAATTTTGACATGTGATAGGAACCTACAAGTGTTGGACAGTTGTTTCATTACAGAATAACGTCTCTGATCACTTCGTATACACAACTCATTAAAATGTATCGAAATCAGAAGCTCTTCTATTTCAAGCGAACACTCTACCACTAAAAATGTTGAACCGTCAACCAATAGTGTACAAATCTAACTATTGTAATGTACATCGTTGAGTTCGTCCTCAATGGTGAAAGGTTCAATCCCTATCGAGGAGCTCAACACAACAATCAACAAATTTCCTCATACTCCACTAGTGTAAACTGTTTTCTAGTTTAGATCAGTTCATAGACTCAATAAAACTCAGCCATCTTCATAACTCCCGAACTGATACTTATTAAATGAATATCTATAATACCACTTATGATTATGACCTCTCTATCACTTCGTCACCTTGATATACATATTAGAAATGAATTCTGTAGCAACTCTTTCATTTTTATCCATGTTACTGAATAAGAGTAAAAATTTGTAAGTCACATGGATTTCTCATCAATTCTATTCCTCAAAGATTTAAAAAAACATTATATGAACAGGTATTAAATCACTCAAACAAACTTTTCATTTCAAATAAACTTAACATATGAAAATTACTTAAGCAATAAGCTTACTTTTAAGAAGATAACGGTCTAGCAGTTTGGGCATTTTATCTATGTACGTTTAGATGATAATCACGCTTCTTGACATCAATTCATCAGCCTCATCAACAGATCGACCAATAATACTGTTTCATTCAAGTACTGGTCATTGTCAGTAGAATCTTCAATGTCAAAATCGATCAGTCAGTAAAAAAATTAGTCATCTCACTAAGTCAACGGAACCCAAAACTGTCTAGCCACACTTCACTTGCAATGAACACTTCAATAAACAACTACATCATAAAACTATGTCACAACAAAAACTCTTCACATCGATAACTCTTTCCAATAAAAAAAATAACTTATGATACATTTGTACATTTTACTTGCCTTACACGACTTTACTTATTTCAAAAAAATGAATCACACTCTCTCATTGTGAAATAATTGCTTTGATCTAATTTTCTAACTGATCAGTCATGACTAATTATGAAAACAACATTATACACGGTAACCAATACAAACCTCCCTGATAGTAAATTACACTGTTTGGTAAACAAGAGAACTACTTACTGTCTACCTTTGATTTCGAATGAACAACAATGCCGGAATTCGGTAAGAATAAAAAAGCGAATTAATTTATTAGACCAAATGAATCAGTTTTCAAACATGAAACAAATTTTTACGACGAATTTTTAGATGTGAGAACAATGAGATTTTGATTGTGCTTGTTGAGTTTCATTGAACGCATGAATCAACCAATGTTAGACCACCTTTGAAAACATAGAAACATTGAATAGATGTTTCATTCTAATATATAACTCATCAACAGTGTGCATCCGTGACCCACATTGAGTATGAAGTAGTCAGCCACCGAAGGCAATGAATGATGGTCACTCAGTAGTAAGGATTGACATTATCAGCACTGAATGTCGGCTCAATGGTTTGAAGATGAAGCGTTCACGCACGAGTCCGATTGTGTTGGATTCTATTCCCACTTGCAGCGGTCATGGATGTGCTTTGCTAGTGAATCCCTTACCAGAACAAAACGTCCGTCAATTGCTTCCATGTTTCTTCTACTGGTGGTCTAACTCAACAATCCCCACAACCTTACAGTGAAAATATTAGAAGTGTCACACATATATTATACCAGATTCTCTATCCCATTTACTAATTTGACATGTTATCACTGATGAAATATTGATCGTCGATAATAATTCCATGATAACGATAATTGATTTAAAACAAATTGAGAAAAAAATTCATCATTACGAAAAAATTCCTTTTTAAATCATCATCATCAATATCGATCGATCGATTGGTTCTACTCACTTTTTTAAAATAATCAAAAATACCAAAGTACCTTGTCCATTGGATATATCAATTGAATATGATGACAGCATACTATCGGATTAGTTGGATTGGAATGAGCCGAAAATTAATCAACTACTCAATTCATGATTGATTAGATAATCATTGGATGCGGA